CTAGTTCTGCTTTAGAAGCTCTTATATAAAATTATTGTACTTATGTTGGGGTTTTTTTAGTCATTAACATTAACCTCAAATTACAACATAGAAAGTTCTATTTAGTACTTCTACACAAACAACAGCTCTTTTGCTGTACTGATGAAATTTCTGAGGATTTTGTTCTGTGGTACAAAAGAAAAGGAAGGGTTTTTTTCGAGAACATTAGAAAAACTGGCATGTTAAACCTTCAGAATAATATTACCTGGAAGTCCTCTGACATAGCAGTCTTCCCCTGCAAGAGCAGTTCTCAGACCTGAAATACTTACATCAAAGATCTCAAAGCCAGCAATGTCCAGGACACCAATGAAGTACTGTCTGGGCTGCTTGGTATCCAGCTGTTGGTTGATACGAACAACCATCCACAAGAACATCTTCTCATAGACAGCCTTTGCCAGAGCACCCACTGAATTGTTCACCTAATGCAAAGAAGGATGGAGCAGAACAAAACCAGTGTCTGGACCAAAAAGTAGGTGATACAAGCTAGAGGTTCCCAGTCACCAGCTGGTTGTTACCTGCTGCACAGTTTGGCCTTTGGTCACATATTCATTCCCAACCTTGACTCGGGGGTAGCAGAGAGCCTTGAGCAGGTCTGCTGAGTTCAGACCCATCAGGTAGGCAGCCTTGTCAGCAACTAAGCAGAAAGATAAAGACACAAAAAAATTAAGATTAACAAGACATGCAGCATTTTGAGTGATTAACCCCTTCTAAAGCAACTACAGTACTAAATATCCTTGTGATCAAATTCTGCTAATTGGTATCTATAAGCCAGGCAACAAAACACAAGAACTGGTTTCCTGAGTGTAATACAAAACATACACTGACATACTTGGGCTGCCTGTATTTTCGTAAAGGAGAATGATGCAACAGACTGATGTTCAATTAATACTAGTATGCAGTGACAGTTATGGGTTTGAATTGCTAAAGGAGAAGAAAGATATTGAAGGGAAGTTCCCTTTTACCTGGGCAAAATTCCTTAATAGCATGTGATTTATGAAAGAGAAATTCTAACACTGAATCTAATGGCTCCATTTTCTTTAAAAAAGCAACCGGAAATAGATTTTCTGAAAATCTTTCCCTTCTCAATGAGTCTTTAATATAAGCACTACAAGTAGGTTGCACTATCCAGATCTGTGCCATCCCAGGAGTGAATTATGGACACACACACAATTTTTACATCAAATAAAGATTAAGTAGTAATTGGAGAAGGTATATTTTGGATGGCTGTTTCACACCTATATACTAGCTCCAAATAAACACATTTTTATACATTTCCACTGTTCTCTTTCTCCATCTTTTTTACACTAGATTATTATTGCTACTTCTATTTCTAATAGGTCAACCATAGTCTTTGCCAATACCTTCTGTGCCATCAGGCTCTGCCTGCTCCTCTCGTTGCTTCTGCTTGAACTTCAAGTTCCCATGGTGCATGACAGCCCCTGTCAGCTTGTAGATGGCTGTTTTCTCATCAGCAGTGAAGCCCAGGATGTCAATGGCACTCTGCAGTCAAAGCAAGGAAGTCAGAGCAGTGCCTGACAACCTTCACTGTCTCATTAACGAGATCTGCTTTAAAGTACTTACATCTGTAGCCATCAGCTCCTCTTGGTCATCAATGCTGGGAACAGTGACCTCACCTTGACTCACGTAGTGGAAATCATAAGGGTTGGTGGTGATGAGGAGCATGTCTGAAAGTTAAAAATGGAAAAATCAGAGTAACTTGAGCTTTCCAGATGACACAATGGATATTGTCCAGTTATATACTTTCAAAAAAGTTAGTGATCTACTTACCAATTAGCTCGGGCTTCTTGTTGGAAGTGACCTGATAAAAGATGTGGTAGCTTCTTTCTGCCTTGAGCTGGAAAGTGACTCTGGACTTCTCCAGCAGATCTGGCAAGGAAGGCAGGAAGAGTCAGGCACAAGGCCACACGTGGAGGTGGGAACTGGGGAAGGAATGGGATCAGGCCAGAGGAGCCTCTTACAGGTTTCAATGTCAGCAGAAGCCAGTTTGCCTGTAGCTCCAAAGTGGATTCTGATGAATTTGCCCTGTTCAGCAGAAGAAGCAGCATTTCAGCCTGAGATTCAGAGGTTCTGCCCAAATGCAGAGATTTTTCCCCAAGCAGCAACTCACAAAGCGTGAGGAGTTGTCGTTCCTCACGGTCTTGGCGTTCCCAAAGGCCTCCAGCAGCGGGTTGGCGCTGATGATTTGATCCTCAAGCGTTCCCTGCAGGACCATAATTATTGCTGCCTCCTTGCCAAAACCATGTCAGGAACACAGGAAAGCTTTGATTCAAGCCAGTCTCTGATCATTTACCTGCATTTTGCCAGACTGCTCCTCCTTCTTCTTCTCCCCACTGGCTGCAATTGTTGCAAAGTACTGGATGACACGCTTGGTGTTCACAGTCTTCCCGGCACCGGATTCTCCGCTGCCAAAGGCAAGAGAAGCAGAGAGCGTGTGGTCAGGCAGGAGATCCCCTGGCACTGGGCAGCCCCACAGGGACCTGAGCAGGGAGCTACGTACGTGATCAGGATCGACTGGTTCTCGCGATCTGCGGGGGAGAGAGAAAGAGTTTTCTTAGTGCCCCTAAAATGCAGATAAATCAAAATCTATTAAAAAACTGAGGGCAATGACACACTGGCCCAGGTTGCCCAGGAAAGCTTTTGCTGTCCCATCCCTGGAAGTGTTGAAGGGCAGGTTGGATGGGGCTTGGAGCAACCTGGTCTGGTGGGGGGTGTCCCTGCCTATGCCGGGGGTTAGAACTGGATGGTCTTGAAGTTCCCTTCCAACCCAAACCAGTCTATGATTCTATTATTCTTACTACCTATGCACTGAAGTTTCATAAAGAGTTTCATAAAGAGTAGTGCTTTTTTGTTGAGAGAGCAGCACCACTTCTGTAGCATTGCAAATTATGCTTCCCATTGCACGTTTTAATCTACAAAACTTAATTTCTAGACTTCTCTCTACAACATTCCCAGCACGATTTCAGTGTTCTTTATCTCATTTAAAGGTGGGCATTCTAGTTTACTCAGCTGAAATATATTATGTAAACGTGACTCCATATTTCAAATATTATCTGCAGAGAAAAGGAAGATTATTCCTGAAGTGCACACTACTGTATCATTTTAAGGGATATTAAGCACTCACCATTCAGCATGAACTGATAGGCGTTGTCAGAGATGGAGAAGATGTGTGGAGGGGCCTCCTGGCGCTTCTTGCCTCGGTAGGCCAACACCACCTCCGGGTTGTACACCGGCAGCCACTTGTAGGGGTTGACGGTGACACAGAAGAGACCCGAGTAGGTCTGGAGGAAGGGAGACAGCACGTTGGCTTCCACTGAGCCTGGCAGAGCAGTTCCTGCTGGCTGCCCAAGGGAAGGTGCTGCTGGTACTTACGTAGATCATCCAGGCTGCATAACGCTCTTTGAGGTTGTACAGCACAGCGGGTTCATGGAGGTGGGTCATCATGGCCATGTCCTCGATTTTATCATACTTGGGGGGGTTCATGGAGAAGATTTGATCTTCCTTCACAGTCAAGGTCTGCCAAGGAAACAAAAGATCCATGTATGCCAGTTAAGAGCTGAGACTGGGAATCAAATGGTGACCTTCAGCCTTGTTTTTCACTCACCTCTCCCCCTTCAGTCTGGACAGTGACCTTCCCGGCCTCCCTGCTCTGGATTGTCCCTTTCACAAAGGATTCCTTAGGATGCACCACAAAGACAGATGACTTGGCATCAAAAGGCCTGTTCTGGGCCTCGATTCTCTCCTTTTCTGATTTTCGGAGGTAAGGAGCTGCCTCCCCAAACGCAGCCATCTCAGCGTCTGGAGAAGTCATGGCTGCACTTCCCAGAACACACGTCAGCAGAAGACTCTAAGGGGCAAAGAAGATATTGCCTATGAGGTAGACAGTAATTTTCTGTTCCAGTGATGAAAACTCTTAGTGTTTCTGTTTTTCTGGTGTTTGAACTTTAGAAAGCTATTTTGGTTTGAACACAGTATTTCCATGCCACCTGAGAATGAGACAGCACTCTAAATAATTTTAATCTTCCAACTATGAAAAGAGTTTTTAGTTCTGAATATCATTTTGCAATATTATCATACTGATGGGAGCTTTACCATCTTCCTTTTGATATTCTGGAGAACTAGACCTAAAGCAAATCTCTCTCTTCCATTGCCCTTAATTATCAGCAATGAGTCTACAAGAAGTTCTTCCATTGCCCATCTTTGGAAGACCATTTTACTTAATGCTGTATACATCTCATGAGGCTCAGATCAGTATTTTCTGCAATGAGTATCAATGAGAAAAATGGGGAATTAATATAATAAAATTATCTCATGGTAACTGGCCTAGCAGCTAACAACTTAGGGTGTTGCCTGTCATGACATCAGAGGTTCTAAGACAGTCACTAGTATATTAACAAGTTGGTAAATTTCTTCTTATAGGATTTCTGAGATAAACTTTAGGTTAGAAATAAAATTATGCCATGGAAATCAGGTAGAAAATTTCACCTATCAGAAGCAAGCCCTCTCTTCTGATTATCAAAAGCAATCAGAATACAGCAAGACATAGAAGATAAAGAGAATTTGCTCAGTCTCTGCAGTCCTTCAGAAAGCAACACTTACCTTGAAACTTTCAATCAGAGCAGGGCAAAATAGTCTCAAGGAGATTTTATAGAGTCGGGTCTGCAGATGCTCTGGATTCTTCCTCTTTCTTCGGTCAAAGCATTTTTGGCCAACCTTCTTTGGCAAAGCATTGTTTGGCAGACTTACCTAAAGACATAATTGTCATTTGATTTGACTAGATATAATTAGAAAATGTTTAGATATTACCAACTATGTGGCAATATCTACTAAAAATAATTTGACAAGAGAATTAAGGGAGAGAATCTCAATCAGTTAAGGCACTTGGAGAACTTGGATGCAGGACTCTGGGATGCTGACATATTTCTGGGTGACTTTCTGATCCATCCAAGATAGACTGTTTGGTGCACAAAGCTACAACAATTTGAATTGTTCCATGCAGGTAGTAGCATTTCTCTTCTTCACATGATGCTGTGAGGTTTATAAAGAAATACTTGAATAATAACTGTATACCAAAACCTACAACTGATTATGACTAAAACACAAGTGCTTTTCTTGAAAACAGAAAACTAGAAATTATTGCAGCTCTAATTCCTTCAGGGACAATTTATCAACTCTTGAAATATAATTAATATATAGAGTACTTTTTAAAGATACTACATTTCCCAGAAAGGTGAGGTATCTAAAGACATTCTGTATCTCCCTAATAACCAACAAGAAGTTGCAAGTTGTGCAATCTCCTAAAAAGCATGTAAAAACAAATGGTCAAAAGGTGCTTTCTGATTTAAGTAGCTAAAAATCACAGCAAACCCATGTCTGTAAAAAATGACATGTTTTCAGTTGAATGCAAAGTGAAATTCCTTACATCCAGAGTCCAGCCAGAGGAAATATACAACAACTTTCACTTCAGCTGCTTTAAATTGTGTCAGATCTAACCACATTCTTCTCCTGGTCATTGGCATTTGGTTTATGAAAAGAGCTCAGTGGATAACATGTGCATGGATATGATATAATATCCAGCATCAGGCAATGTCCTGTGATTGCAAAGCCCATTCCAAGGAGGCTGCAGCCCTGCTCTGCCCACTTTCTTGGAGCCCAAACCCAGAGCTCAGCACTGCAGCAAGGAGCTCAGGGCATGGGGAAACACCCTGCACCCAGCCCAGGAGGAGCCCAGGTCAGCCAGTGAGAAATGGTGAGCACAGGGGGCATCTGAAGTCCTGCCTCTCTGGGGAGAAGGCACCAAAGGTGCTGGTGGGGGCACCTCCCTCCAGCAGGACCCAGAGCAAACTGTGCTCCCCAGCCTGGGCCAGCAGCTGCTGCTCTGAGGGGCAACAGGGACTCTTGCAGCTGAGCCCCTGGGGTGCTGGGCTGCCACATGGTGTCCAGCAGCCCAGTGGCTATTGGTCCTGGCTGAGGAGGGTTTAGAAGTCCATGCAAGAAGAGCAAGGAATGGCTGAGGCCCTTCCTAGGGTGCAAGAGGTAAAGGTTTTCTCCCCATAGGTTGGGGACTGGAAATTTTTTACTTCCCTGTGGCCAGTGACAGAGCCAGTCTCCTCAGGAGAGCTCTTCTGGGGTTTTGTTGTGGTCTGGGATGTGGACCCAGCTGTGTAACATGCAGGAGACACAAGGTCAGGCAGCTCTGGGCATGCAGTCAGATGAGCAGGCTAGTTTGAAAGAGAAGCAGCCAGTGAGTTGAGGTGTGTCCAGGTGTGAACAGTCACTCAGCAGTGCTTTTAGGGTGGAGGGCTTGGTCTTGGTCTGGCTTGGTCTTCTAACACAAGCCAGTGTTAGAAACTGACACATTTTTAAGACCACTCTTAAACTCAAATAGTGGTAACATGTGAGCCCCTAAAGTGGAAGAATAGGAATTGTTCCTCTTTTGCCCATCTCCATAACTGCTCCCCCACTGCCTGAACAACACAGTAAGTGGGCCAGCAAACAGACTTTTTAGGTCAGCTAGTCAATAAGGCTATGAAGTAACAAAGGCAGTACGAGATAACTTGCACTAAGGTCACAACAGGACTAAAAGGAAGGACCATGCCAGTCAAGTGGTCTACTTGGTCAAACAGAGTAACCCACAGAGCATGAACAGACATGTTTAAAATCCAGTGTCAAATGGGCAGTGCTGAGACTGCGTGGTTCACTCTCCCAGAGCTGTGCATAAGCAGATCCAAAACCTTCAGCAGCCTTTTGGAGACATCAGCTCTCTTACTAACGGTACTACAACTTGGACCACTTAAAGTCAGCACTTTCACATCTCACCTTATCTTGCAAGACCTTCTGATAGGGTAGCCTTAAAATAAGGTAATGGTTGTCCCAAATAGACAACTCTGAATTTACAGACATACAGTTTGGTTCCTATGTCTCCTGAAAAGAAGATACAGTGTTTCTTCTTTATGAGCATGTCTAATCTTGTTCTTTACAAAGTACAGTTGTGATGGCTTCAATATGCAAGACTGTCCATGCTTTGCCTAGATAGGAGATAATCAGCAAAAGTAAAACTGAAAATGGATACATTGCATGACACAGGATGAAAACTCAATTGAAATGAGTTTGGGGTTTTTAATGTGAGCTCTTGCTCTAAAATATATAAGTACTATTTGGGAAGAAAGGAAGCTCCTCCCTCTGCAAGCAAGGAAAGTGTCTCTTATCTCCTGCAGGAAGGACCTGAGGAGGTAAGAGGACTCATTTCCAGGGATTGAAGTTGGTTGTGAGCAGAAGACTCATGGAACACGGTTGCTGTTTTCTGTCATGTAGGAACTTCACACTGGCTGCACCTAAATTGTCTGGCAAGTAGACACTCCAAAAATATAGGTCCATTTGATTAGTTTAAACTTTTGATAAGCACTGAAAGTCAAACAGGCATTAAGTGAGATGGCTGTAACTTCAGCAAAAGACTAAGGAACTAACTAGAGCTAAGAGTGGTGTAAGGACACCTGGTATCTGCTTGAATCATTTTCTATGAACACATATAAGTAAATTCTTCCCTTTCATCTGTGTCTTGACAGAAATTTTCAGTAATCCACTGAGATATTGTGTTCCTGACACACCCCCCAAAAGGCATATATTTTCTGTCTGTTGTCCTTATAGGTTGTGAACTCCACCCTTACAGCCAAACAAAGCTTATAATCATTTGATTAGGAGACAAACCTTGCTTACGTGGGAGCACTGAAAGATTTCCAGGAATCTTAGGCTCATCCTGGTTGGAAGGGACCTTGAAGATCATCAAGTCCAATCATAACCTAAACCCTTCTACCATAACCTTATTTACCTGTTCAGTGCTTAAATCATGTCACAGAGCACTGTATCTACATTTCTTTTATATATTTCCAGGAATGGTGACTCCACCACCTCCCTGGGAAGCCTGTTCCACTGTCCAATCACTCTTTCAGTAAAGAATTTCTTTCTAACATCCAGTCTAAACCTCCCCTGGTGCAGCTTCAGGCCATTTCCTCTCATCCTGTCATTATTCACTTGAGAGAAGAGCCCAACTCCCACCTCCCTACAACCTCCTTTCAGGCAGTTGTAGAGAACAATGAGGTCTCAGCCTCCTCTTCTCCAGGCTGAACAATCCCAGTTCCCTCAGCCTCTCCTCATGGGACTTGTTCTCCAGGCCTTTCACCAGCTTGGTAGCTCCTCTGGACACACTCTAGCAACTCGACAACCTTCTTGTAGTGAGTGGAACCTGGAACCAAGTGCTAGCAATGCACAGTGGTTGCTTACGTGCAGATTGCTGCTAAAAAATAACAAGTTGTTCTTAAATGGGAGCTCAACTTTCAACTAAGATTTTGTTACAGATTGTTTTTTGTTGTGTGGGGTTTTTTTTTTTCTGTCAAACTTTGCTTTATAAATGAGAGTTTAAATTATCATGGCAAGAAATCAGTATTGAACCACATCTAGGGAGATTCCAAAAAGTCAGTAAAATTCATCATATGGTTGCAGGCTTAGGGGGTTGAATTTATCCTCAAAATTCTAATTACAAAGGTTCTTCAAAAGTCTACCCACCTTTGAGCTGTCCTTACACACTGCACCTAGTGCACTTGTCTGAGTTTCCTGTTGCTAGAGTTATGAAGGGTATTGCTAATTCATCAGGCTCATCAAGGATACAGGTGTTTAGCAAGGTTCAACAGTAAATTGCTCAGTGCTTGGCATTAAAAAGCTCAGTGCCAATAAGATGAATAACAGTGTAAATTCAGTAAGTTCTGCTGGAGGAAACAATAGTTATAACCTTTT